GGTGACACTTCCCCAGCATGCACCCAGGGGGCGGGGCCGACGCGACAGGGGCTGGTTCCTCGCTGTTTCCAGACGGCCTTGTGGAGCTAAGACTGAATGCGCTTCAGCATGCACTTCAGCATAGATGGCCACCACAAAATTGTACATTGGCTCCCAGCCGGCCTGGGCCAGGGCCAAGGCAGTGGGGGCCGTTCCCTCACTGTTTCCAGGATGGCTTTGCGGGCCACATGAAACCATTTTGCAGGCCGCATCAAGCCCCCGGCCTTGTGTTTGACATGTCTGGATTAGATGATTCTGGGAGGAACTGGACTTTTCCATAAAGCTACTTTGCCTGCCCAATCTAATCTCCCAGTGGACCATCACATGCCTCTCTACTGTGTTCACAAGGGAGCCCTTAGCAACCATTCTTCCCAATTCATTTTCTTGGCTCCATTGATTATCTGCAAAGAACAGAATGAAATTCATAAAACAAAAGAATAGAAGATTGCTTCTACAAATAAATTCATTATAGTCTACGTCCCCCGAGATGCGCAGCAGCTACTTCTCTCAATATGCTCCCAATTCTGTGTGACTGTCAATCCTGGGGTTATCTGAATATACTGAGGGATAATAAGAAGAACCTTTGACAAGTGCAGGAAACAACCAAATCATCAGGAGGGTTAGAAAGCTGGGTATTGGGAAGCTTGGCTTTCTTTGGTCTAAAAGCTTAATTCAATTTCTTGGTTCTGCTCCGCATTTAATTTTCAAATGGAAGTAGGCTTAATGGTTAGAGGAAGAGAGAGGGACAGCCAGAAACTGAGGCAGCACTGGAAAAATATGGTTCTTGGGGCCAAGTTGCAAAATTCCATCTTTTTATCTGGACATCAAAAAGCCACGATCAAATGAGAGACTTGATTACCTAAATCAGTGATGGCAAACCATTTAGAGACCGAGTGCCCAAACTGCAACCCAAAACCTACTTATGTATCGTCAGGTGCTGGGTGGACGTGGCCCATTGGGTGGGTGTGGCCTATTGGGTGGGCATGGCCTATTGGGCAGGCGTGGCTGCGGTGGTAACGGCAGACTGGGTGGGACCAAAAAGTTCAATCAATTCCAACTTTGCGAGATCTTTTTTTTTCCTGCGAGAAGTTGAAATTGATTGATTGATTGAACCTCTTTTTTTTTGCACACGGTGGCAGAGGCCTAAAGCGAAAAGGTTTTATAAAACCCAGCTGAAGGCCTAGGACTGGGGTGATGATGTGCGTGCCCACAGAGAGGGCTCTGAGTGCCGCCTCTGGCATGCGTGCCATAGGTTCGCCACCACGGATCTAAATGTTTGCTTGTGCATGTTAGTGAAAGATAAAGGCGCATTTGAGACAAACGTGATTTTGGATGACTGCACCCATGTAATTTTCTTCATGGTGTTACAGAAATAAACACCATTACTATTTTGCAACTTGTGCCCAAAAACCATATTCTTCTGGAACAATGTTTGGCTTCCCAGTCCTGCCAACAGTCCTAGGATCTAAGTGATTCAAGAACAGATCAAGGCCAATCTTGCTTTCTAGCTTGGCTTGGTGCTGACACCTGCAGAGATAGGAACATGGCTCCTATTAAGACCTGGGTCTTTAAGTAACTTAAGGTTCTCTAAATGATGCTTAAATACAACTTCTAGGATCCCTATTGTCCTGCCGACTGTGTTGCTCAAAACTGGTTTAGCAACATCCTGTGGACCAGACGTTCCTTATGAAAAGGGCTTTTTGACGGAGGTATTCTGCACATGAACACTTTCCAGGGTGTACACTTTTCAAGGTGAGGAATTTTTTTACTTGACCAGGTCTTTCCAACCTTTTATTTGAAATCCAAACTGGGTATCTCATCTCTTAGAACAGCTTAAGTGGTTTGGTTTGGTTTCACTAGATGAATATTTCTGCACATTTTATGACGACGTTATAATCTTTCTTGTTAATAGTTGCATTTTATCCTTTGGCTGTTATTACAAGTTGTCCAGAGTACTGTTTGTTAATGGAAGGCATATAAATATTAATAGATAATAAATAAATAGATAATGAATACTAAATAAATAAACCATGGCATTTATTTGATTCTTAAATTGCCCATCAGGCTTCAACAGCAACAGCTGTGACAGGTCATAAACTGACCTTGTAGATTTGGTTAGTTTTGCCAAAGCACCGGGAAGGTGGGGTGAGCGTTAGATTGCCTCTTCTGGCTCACAAGGGGGGGAAAAAAGGCAGCCAAAAAAATTGGTGTGCAGCTTTGTAACTTACAGCACAAAGGCTGCCCAGCACAGCAGGCCCAGATGTTTTCCTCTCAATCCAGTCTGAGCATATTTAATGGAGACAGCTGTTTTTACCAAACAAAAGAAGGAAATGCAAAACTGTAGTCCTGGTTTTCAATGCAAGTGCAAAAAAGCTGGTGCTGTTTACATTATTTGTATAATGTAGGTCTTAAGCTCTGCACCAAAAAGAAAACGAAGGCCACGGCCAGGTGTTCCTGCATGCATTTATGCTTTTTCAGATGCTGCTATGCAGCGAGGCATGTGCCACAGTGGAATACCAGATTTTCCTTCCCACCTACCCAAATTCCTAACTGGGACTTGTCTGTGTGTATTTCTTCCACAAGCTCTGGGCTCTTCATCCCAATTCTGTCTCCATCCCCTTGTTTCTACAAAACGATTGATTTCACTGGACCAAGACCAAGCCTGTTGGTACGTTCACATTAATGACAGCTCTGGTTGAGTAGCAGGGAGGAAGGTGCCGTTAATCAAGTGCTCTCAAGGCTCTTGAGCTGTGTTTTCCTTCCACTAAATTGCTGACTCTTGCTGCATGCATTTGTATAGCAGAGGACACAGTCACCTCCTGCGGGGGGGGGGGGACTCTCCTTCCCCAGCAGTAAAACTGTCTTAGCCAGCTAGCCTGAAGCGACAAAACAGCATTTTTCACTACTAGACAGAGGATTCAACAGGGACTAGCTGCTCCATTTTTAGAAGCCTGTTTGCATGTCAGGGGAGAGGAATCCTTTACCAGTGGTAGTACTACATAGTGGACCAAGAAATGGGCTGCTACTGATCAAGGGCTGACTTTCATGTCGGAATAAAAGGAAGAAGCAGAAGGAGATATTGGCATTGCTAGCACACACACACACACACACACACACAAAGAAAATGCAGTCATAGAATGAAATCCCCTCATTGGCCCAACGAATAGTGCTTCTTTGCTGATTGCAAGCTGAATTTCTTCTTAGTGAAGGGGTATTTTTGTGCCTGTCTATTTTTGTTTTTCTGGGAAGATCTGCTACTAAGATGGATCAAGATCTGAGAGGCACTTTTCTGCAGTTCATTTGCAACTGACTGTATGACTAGACCTCACTTAAAAGGTGTTAGCAGTGCTAGAGCAAACAATACTCCCCCCCCCTCCCCAACTGAGCCAGGACAAACAGACAGAGCACCTGGTGAATGGAAACTTAAGAATATCTTCTCACACCATAGAGTTACCTGATGTATACTTTCCACATAAAGCAACTGCTGTATGTGTAATGTGACGAGACAATTTGTACCTAGTATATTATTCTAGATAGAATAAGTTCAGATCAGGAAAGCCAGAACTGGCCGCAGTTCCACACAGCAAAGCCTTGGGAGGAAAGCCTGCCCTTAAAATGAACAGGGCCCGAGCTTTAAAAACACGACCCATAGTATCGTCAGTTATTTCTTAAGACTTGCAACACCACTTCACAATTACCTGCCGGACATGGTAGAGCGGACTGGGCTTTTGCTCGCTTCCCGACGGTGCGGATCTGGCTTTTGATTCTGTTGGCGAAGCGGGAGGGGGGGGGGGGCGGCGGAGGCGAGACGGAACTTTGGCTTTAATTCGGGGGAAAAGGAAACGTTGATCTAACGGAGCAGGGGAGCCGCTGACAACACGCGCGCCGCACACTCGCGCAGCATCGCGGTCGCCGCCGACGCGCACACAGCCACCCTGCAATCGCAGCCCGGCACTTCTACGGCTCCGAGCCGCTTTCCTCCTCCTCCTCCTCCTCCTCCCCCCGCACAGGCATGCGCGCACACACAGGGACACACATACACCACACACACAGAGAGAGAGAGAAGCACACACACACATGCGCCGCCGCCGCCGCCACCGCAGCCACCGCCACCCGGCGCTCTCTCGCAAGACTCCGGGGTAGCGCAGTCGGGCCCTGCCGCCCTCGTCTTGGACGCAGCGACTGCCCGCAGATCCTGCTGCCTCGCCGACAGGCGCGATCGTCTCCCGCCGCCCAGCTCATCCCCCTCCCCGCCCCAAGCAACGGCCTCTCTCGCCACGCCACCGGGGAGCCTCCATGTGTTTGGGGGAGAGGCAGCCGCCGCTGGTCGCTGAGTCTCTCCGCCGGCGGCTTCCCGGCGATCGTCGCTTCTCTTGGATTCCCGAGCGCCAAGGCGAGGCCAGAAGCAGCAGCAGCAGCGGCGGCGGCGGCGGCTGGCAAAGGATTCCCGCCGCCATCCCCCGCCCTCCAGCGGCAGGTGCCGCCTCAGCCGGGCAGCCTTCGCGCTCGCTTCTCCAGCCGCGTCTTCGCGCCTGCCTGCAGCCTTGCTTCCCCCGGCAGCCCCGCGCCGCTGAGCCGGCGAAGCGTTGCCGCTGCCGTCGCCGAGGACTGACGGCCGGCCGCCGCTGGCCTTGCTTTCAGGTTTGGCTTGCTGGGCATGATGGGGGTGGGGGAGAAGAAGGGGGAGGATCCCTCCGGCCCGGGTGAAAAGTGCAGCGGAGGTTGGGGGCTGGCTGGGAGAGCGCGGGGAGGAGAACGCCCGGGAGCCGAGCTCCTTGGTGCCGCCGCGCTTCCAGACAATAGCTAGGGAAGGGAAGGGAAGGGGCGCTGGGTTTAGACCTTCCCCAACTGGGATAATGGCCAGGCTGGCCAGCGACGCCTCCTGAGCGCTTGTCTCCTTTCCATCTAGTGCGGCGTCCCCCCCTCCCCCCGCTCGTCGCCCTGCCCCGGCTCTGACCATGATGGACCTGAAGGTGGACGAGGAGGAGGTGGAAAACGGGCAGCCGGTCAGCATCGAGGCGTTTGCCAGCAGTTCCACGCTGCACGGCCTGTCCCACATCTTCTCCTACGAGCGCCTCTCAGTCAAGCGCATCTTCTGGACCTTGTGTTTCCTGGGCTCCTTGGCCGTGCTGGTCTTCGTCTGCAATGAGAGGATCCAGTACTACTTTCGCTACCCTCACGTCACCAAGCTGGACGAGGTGGCTGCCACCCACATGACCTTCCCAGCCATCACCTTCTGCAACCTCAACGAGTTTCGCTTCAGCCGAGTGACCAAGAATGATTTGTACCACGCTGGGGAGCTCCTCGCCCTGCTCAATAGCAGGTGGGTCAGAGGATGGGGAGGGGGAGCCCCCCCCCCACACACCCATGCCCTGCAAGAGTGCAAAGCCCGAGGTCCCGAAGCATCTTTGGGATGCCGTGCAACAGTTGGTCCACTTGTGGCCATGACAGGAGATGGTGTGCGTGTGTGTGTGTGTGTGTGCTGGGAAGTGTTTGAACTGTGCGCTGAAGTGTGCAACATGTATATTTTCATACTGTGATCTGACACACATTTGAGAGTGTTTCTGGGTGACAAGCTATTTAGCACTGGCAGAATGGAAAACTGTTTCCATATCGTTGCCAAGAAAAGTGCACGGCTGTGTCTATAAAGTCCGCAGGAGTAGAGTCCAAGTTGAGGGAGGCTTGACTTTGTATACTTGGTCACTGACCTGGGTCTCGTATGGCTTTGGAGGTGGTTTATGTCTCTGTTATACAGACTGCCGATCTTTTTCCAGGCTACCTGTCCCTTTGATTCCACAGCAATAATCCTGTGAGGTAGGGAGGACTGAAATTGTGACTGCTTCAAGTCACATGGTGAGTTTCTATGGCTGAACATGGCCAGCTCTTCTTCAAGCCAGACGTGTGGCCCCATGCACTTGACTCCTTTCAGATGCAGTACGTATCACTGTAAAGGCTGTCGGCCGCCCATTTGTGGCAAAGAGTCCCATATGACCCCATGGAGGCTGCTTTGATTCTGTTCCCTATTTTACTCTGTTTGTGCACTTTAAGGGTGATGTGCTCCCACGCTGTGGACTGAACCACAAGTATTTCTTGTACAGCTGATCGTATTCTTGACACAAGGCAGCTAATGTTTTCTGCTGCTTGAACTCCCCTGTTTTCAGATTCTTGGAGCTGAGATCTATCTGTAGCTAGTCACGAATCAGCCTGGGAGGGCAAACCAGAGTTTGGGCATCCTGGATATCAGTTGCACAGGGGCAACAGGGAGAGCCGCTTCTGAGAGGAAACTGAGGCCATTGGAAGCTGAGGTTGCCTGCTGCATGTTTTCTGCAAGCTACAAAAAGCAACTCCTGAGTCAGGATTCCAAGAGCCCCCCCCCCCACCAAAGCCCCCAATTTCATCTTTCTCATCTCAGCATATTACTGCCCTCTACTGGAGAGAATTGCAACTCCCCAGCATGTAAAAGTACTGTAACATCTCCTTTGAACTGAGCTCGACTCCTATGAATTAACGAACATATCCATGTTGTTTTCTTGGCAACCATACACAAGTGGTTGGCTACTGTTTTCATCCAGGATTTGTTTTGACTTCCCGGTCTAGACTGTAGTCTTGGGATTACCTGGCAGTCTCTCATCTAGGACTAACCAGGTTCTGAGTTAATACCTGAAACCAGGGTTACATGGTCAACTTGATTAGGCCACCTCAGCCAGGTGCTTCCATGTAACTTGGTTCAGTTGTATTCCTAAAGCCAGAAGGAGAGGATGAGACTTTCTGTCAATTAGTTTGTATGGATTTTAACTCAGGGATGGCATGAAATTTAAATGGAGGGTGGATAAGAGCTAGTACTTTGATCTTCACGTTGCAGAGCTTGCTGCTGTGATGTGATCTGTTCTAAGTGGTATATGCAGGACTTTTTACAACTAAGTGGCAGTAGCAGAATTTTATTTTTTCAGTGCATCCTATATCAGAATGATTTTTCTCCATTCTCTTTTTCTGTTGAAGTCCATGGTTCAATCAGTTCTTGGAATTATATTTTATCAGAGTAATTTTATTGTTTGAATGACAAATATTTCACTACAGAATCATACTTGCCTGGAGCAACTAATCCCCATTGCCTATCTTGCTACTTGGTCTCTACCTAATGAAATAGACAAAATATGACTGTAGTCCTGAATCGTGGAAAAAAAAAGCTAATTTTACAAAATGTCCCTTTTTCTTTCTTTCTTTTAGAGCTGTTTTTTGGCCAAAATGCCACTATTTCATAGAGCATAACAAATCATCCTTTATTTCAGAACATAAAAAAACCCAAAAAGAACTAGTTGGATTGGACAAAAAAAAAATCCAACCCTATTAATAGTAGCTGCCAGCCAGATGGTAGTGGAAATTTTAAAAATCTAAAAACAGACATTAAAAACAATTGGCCTCTCTTCCAGCCCTGCCTTTCCCAATGAGGTGTGATGGTATATTGCCACTGATCAAGGAGACTTTGTTTAGCTGTCAGGGCTCAGAGCTCAGGATAGACAGCTCCTCCATGCCTTTGCCTCTACCTCTTTTTAAAGCTGCCTAATTTAATGGTCATTAATTTTGTCAGGATTGGTTTTGTAAGTTAAAAATGAAAAAACCCCGCTGCCCTGAGTTAAGCCAGTGGTCCATCAAATCAATTGGGTTTCATACAAATAATGAGAGCCGGTTTGGTGTAATGTTTAAGGCACCAGCCAAAAACCAGGAGACTCACCTCACAGGATTGTTTTTGTGGAGAAAATAGGAAGAGGAAGGAGTATTAGGTAGGTTCGCTGCCTTGAGTTACTTATAAAGTAATAAAGGTGGGATAAAAAAAATCTAATAAATAAGTAAATAAAAATAGAAGTGGCCAAATCGGGGAACAGTGTGGGAGTGGAATCCAAAATTTAGGGCAGGCTTGGTAGCCTGTCTTTGCTCCTTGTAGGCCCTAATGGCTTGGATTTCTTGCTACCTGCTTCCGTAAAATATAAAATATATGTTCTTTTCCACAGCTATAATTTGGGAAAAAGACAAGAAAAAAGGGGTGGCATAGGCAGCTTGCATGTAAGTATTTGTAGCAATTCGACCTTTGGCACTGATCTAATGTGGTTCTCTATGTGCAAAATATGCCATCTGCTAATACATCAGGGTTTTTAGAACTAGCGTAGATAGTACTGTATATGTGTTGATTGTGGGCGATGATATAAAAGTCTGACGGTTTCCTATTCTTGGCTCTCATGACAGAAGGAGCCATGCACAAAGCCAAGAATGGGATCTTTGAGGGGCTTCAAAACTGATACTCCTGCCCTTCCACCCCACAAGCGATAAACTGCTCTCCTTTTCCCATTGGTCCACTACCGAAAAAAGAGATTTTGGGATCTGGATTGTTGCATACGGTTTTGCATATTTATGAAAAATAAGCAACCTATGCCTAACCCTGATAGATATGCTTATCCCAAGAATAAAATTTACTGGTTTCTTAATGGGGAATATGTTTTTGATTTGTTCTTTAATTTTGCCAGCTGAGCGACAGTTAGGGTTGGCCATAGGTTTCCCTGAAAATTACGGAATTTTTCACATCTGAAAAATGTGCCAGCCAGATACTAATTCCTTTATGTGCCAAGAAGCTAACTGGCTACTAGCTAATATTAGTCCCACAGCACTGACCAGGTTTTCTCAGCCTGAGGCCGTCCAAATAGAGCGGGATGACATCTTCCAGAATTCACCAGTCAGAGTTTAAATACATCTTGAAACCATTAGATAGAAGAAGGTTCTGAAATGTCAATCAAGTAATACCAGTGAATCCATCCTATACAATTGAATGTTCCAGAGCTCCTTGGAATGGTGGCATTTTCTCTGGACAGCCAGGGAAAACCTCCAGTCTGCTCCCTATGCCCAGCAACCTGTTTATTTCCTTCTTACTCCAGAAATCTGCTTAAATGCCTGATACTTTATTTATAACCGTTATTGACTCCTTTTGCAAATAGAAAGTAGTTTAGACGTGCAGAAATCAACCTATCAAAAACACTGTCAAAAGTGTTCCGGGGATCGTGCTAGCCTAAGTCATCCAAAAGCAAATAAAATGTTGTATTTGCAAGTCTTACTGGCCAGTGTTTCTGGCCACTAAATAGCTGTAGCATCCCAATCTACCCCCTTCTTTATATAAACATGATCTCTATGCTGCCTCACTTCACAAAGGGGTCGCTGAAAATGTTCTACCAATTCTGTATTATCAAAAGTATCCAGTAGAAGAGAATATATGCAGCTCAGGGTTGAACTATGGAGTGCTTGGTATACTCTGAGTTTGTTTGTTTGCTTGCAGACCTTTTATTACCTTACTAGGTAACATCATCAATGCTAGTAAGTTTGGGGTTTGCACCCTGTTTATATGCAGTAGCTTGCCCTGTCAGTGTGGTATGATTTTCTCAAAAAGGACTGTAAGCTGCAGGCCATACTAGACGCACTTATAGTCAGGAAATCAACATTACACATTTAGGTACGTTAGAGATTTAGGGACTGACATTATTCCAAGTTTCAGCAGCATACTTTGCAATTCCAATTGATTCTAACCGCCTGCTTTGTTGAACAGGTGCAGACAAACTGGGCAACATCCAATTTTTGCATTTGCAATTTGCACTGATTTGGCATATGCATATGTATTGGGTGGCTTGTACTCAAAAACTATTATAGAACAATAGAAGGCACTGAACTGTATTCTTGACCACTAGGAAGCTTCTTCAGGGCCTTCATTGGACTTTTGCAATTTTCCAAGCATTGCCCACACCGTTTTCTTCTAGTCCTTATAGACAAGAAAGCTTTAACTCAAAGTGAGATTCTGAGAATTAAAGGTGTCTCAAGAAACGCTATTGAAGTGGCAGATTTTTACATTCCTACGTTAGCATTTTGATGGTTGTCTTAGTAGGAGAGCATTCCTGTAAGGTAGGAAAGCAAGCAGTGCAGCCTAAGTGGGGCCTAAGTAAGGTCTGCCACTACCCTTTTGGCCTTCTGTAAGGGCCTTAACCCCTGGCTTTGCCGGCTGACTTGAGGCCCTAATGGAAATGCTCTGTGCTGGAGGTGGCTGGTGGATTAATAGGGAAGAGGCCACAACTATACTATTCTTGTTTGTGGTTTTCTGGTTTTGGACCTAGTCTTGTTAATTTTAATAATTACTTTAATTGTAAACTGCCCAGTGCCCCATTGTCGAGTGAGATGAGCAGCATATAAATTTAATGCATAAATAAACTGCAACGTTCAAAACATTGTTGCTGTGGTTTGAGTTTGGAGAGCTTAAAAGAAGGAAATATGTGCCTTGAGTCTTGCAAAAGACACCCATTAAACCCGCTGATGCTTCACTCTATGCCTTCCCACCACCATCATTGTGTCTCATCTTGACTGCTGCCACGTTTGGAACATGGCTTTTGACATTATTTAGTACAGGCTTCAAGCCAGCTGAAATTCCACCTCTCTGCTCTAATAAAACATGTTGTTAGCTTTTGGCCTGGGATATTCACGCTTTCCTTCTCAAGTCTCATTCCGAGCTCATGCTATCCTTGCAAAGGATGATCCTCATCCACCAAGCAGGCTAATGAAGAAGCAAGCTGGGTTGAAACATTAAAGCTGGCACATCCTGTGCCCTGGGGAGATGGGAAGTATTGAAACCCCTTCTTCGATTCCCCAAAGAGACATGACTTGACTGCTGTTAATGAAGCGGACACAATGTCTATTGGTATTAAACATCCACAGGCTGTGAAGGGTAAATGCATACAAGTGTGCGCAAGGCTATGCATAAACATTTTGACTGTCTCTTTCCAGAATATAAACTCAGTACACTTACAGCCTCACCGTTTCACATGCACTCCCTTCTTTATGACAAGAGTTGTCATAAAATCAGGGGAACAGCCGATATCTGCCTTTTTTTTTTCCTAGTGTGTAGCTGTCATGCAGGAGAACAACATCTTGGTTGCTAATGTAAAATGTGTTATGCCTTTGGAGAGTGGAAAAGCTGCCTCAGTGGCAAGTGGCTGTTTCTTTTGCTTTTTTAGGAGTAATTATATAATCTGAAAATGCCTGGTTAGTCTTGCAAGGAGTGAAGAACAGTTGCTTATCTTCACAGAAGAGTCTCAATGTGAGGTTTTAATTACACTGTGCTTTTGCTGCTGGAACTGAGAAGTCCCAGGTGTATCATCTGACCATCTCACCATCTTACAGATGCTTTGCCCAGGAGCATTGGAGGCTCAGGCACTTTCTCTGTGAACTGCACCAGCCCAACCGATAGGGAGACCCAAACCGAACCACTGTGACTATGCTCTGGATTTTTTCTCAGGTACGAGATTCCGGACACCCAAATGGCTGATGAGAAACAGCTGGAGATCCTGCAGGAGAAGGCAAATTTCCGCAACTTCAAGCCCAAACCTTTTAACATGCGGGAGTTCTCGGACCGAGCTGGCCATGATATCCAGGAAATGCTGCTCTCCTGCTTGTTCCGTGGGGAGCCATGTGGTCCCTCTGACTTTAAAGTGGTGAGTGTCTGGCTTCTTTTTCTCTGAAGATTGTGAGGTAGGGAGTAAGTGTTAAATTTGGATCATGTTGTGTATCCATAGAGAGAAGAACCTGTGTTGTGCATAGTGTTGGCATCATTGTGGGGGGGGGGGGGGGGGGGGGGGGGGGGGGGGGGGGGAAGAAGGCAGTCTGCTGTATTGACTTGTTCTGACAATGCAGATAGGCTTATTTCTTTGTTATTGATTACATATACTTACAGACTACTACAGCACACAGTGAAGTGTTTTACAAGAACAGGCAGAATAAAAAACATAGCATATTTTTTAAAAGCAAGCAAGCAAACAAATCTCAGCCCACATTATATAAAAGCTGTTGCAGAATAAAATGAAAAAAAAAAACACCAAACAGAAAATAAAGATCAACCCAAATCAACCCAACATAGTGCCCAAATGCCTCTTGGGGGGAAAAAGGCCTGTTTTAATAGTCTATTGAAAACCCCAACAATTTGAAATGGACCTCAAGGGGTAAGCACAATTTTGGGGCTATTCTCAAAAAAGAGGCCTCTTGCTCACTTTTGGGGTGGGGATCCTATGCATCCTTTTTTGAGAAGACCTCACAAGATGGGCATTTTACAGAGGAGATGGACCTCCAGGTAAGCAGGAGCTGTGCCTTTTAGAGCATTAAAGATTTACACTAGCTATGTGAATTTTGACCCAGAAACCTACTGGCAACCAGTGCAGTGACAATTGCACAGGTGTTATGCTGTAGAAGTAATATACCTCCAGCAGCAGGAGGACTGTTAGAATCTGAATCATCTTCAAAAGCAACCTAGCGTAGTGTGCATTATAGTAGTCTAATTGCAAGGCAATAAGAGCATGAGTCACTGACATAAAGACTTCCTCGTCGAAAAAGGACTGCAACTGTTGAAGTTGTGCCAAAGTTCCCATAGTCTTGGCCTCCCTCTACTGTTCAAGCAGGAGTCATGAGAACCTTAAGTCACAGATCTGGTCTTTGAAGGAGAGTGTGGTCCTTTTAGACCTAATCTAAGAACTGGGGGAAAAGACTGTTTATCTACAAACAGCACTTCCATCTTACTCTGATTCAGTTTGATTTTTGTTGCTGTTGTTATTGTTCCATCTAGTACAGTGGTTCTCAACCTGTGGGTCGGGACCCCATTTGGGGTCGATCGACCATTTCATGGGGGTCGCCAAGCAAGGCTGTCCGCCATTTTTTTTGTCCACCATTTTCCCCCCCTTTTCCGGCGGGTGCCTTACCTCCCTTGGGCTGGGCCAGCTGGTGGTCGGCCTGCTCCATCTCTGCCGCTTGCCAGCTACGCCTCGGCCGGCGCAGGGGGCGGAACCACACTTGCGCGGCGCTCCCGGGCAGGGAAAGTCCTCGACTTACGACCGGTTGGATAGTCCTCGACTTACGACCGGTTTAGTCCTCGACTTACGACCAGTTTAGTCCTCGACTTACGACCAGTTTAGTCCTCGACTTACGACCGGTTGGGGTCGCGGCATTAAAAAGGTTGAGAACCACTGATCTAGTAGTTCCTCACAACTTTCAGGAACAAACCAAGAACTTCCACTCTTATCTCCAACCTTGCCTGGCATAGCGATATATAATTGAATATAATCAGCACATAGAGGATAACTCACTCCAACTGATGGATTTATGTAGACATTAAATAATATCAGAGAGAGGACCGAACTCTATGGTACCCACACATAATATGTACAATGGAATCATCGAAACATAGACCTGGAAGGGACCTTGGAGGTCTTCTAGTCCAACCCCCTGCTCAAGGCAAGAGTCTTATACCATTCCAGTCAAATGGTTGTCTAGTCTGTTTTTGAAAACCTTCAGTTACAGAGCACCCATAACCCCAGGAGACAAGCTATTCCATTTATTAATTGTTCTCACAGTTGGAAACTTTTCCCTTAATTATAGGTTGTATCTCTCTTTGACCAGCTTCCATCCATTCTTGTCCTGCCCTCTGGTGTTGTAGAGAATAAGTCAATCCCTTCTTCTTTGTAGACAGCCTCTGAATTATTAGGAGACAGTTATCATGTTCCCCTGAGCCTTCTCTTTGATAAGCTAGACTACTTAAGTTTCTCAACTGTTCATCATACGATTTAGCCTCCAGACCCTTTATCATCTTTGTTGCTCTTCTCCGCACACTTTCTAGGATCTCAACATCTTTTTTGTAGCATGGTGAGCAGAACTGGATACAGTATTCCAAGTGTGGTCTCATCGGCGCAGTGTAAAATGGTACTATCAGTTCTCATTGTCTTGACAGTATCCCTTTGTTGATGCAGCCTAGGATTGCATTGATTTTTTTTTGACAGCTGCAATGGTGGTGCACTGGGACACCTAAATCCCTCTCATAGTTACTATTATTGAGCCAAGTACCACCTGTTCTGTACCTATGCATTTTATTTTTCCTGTTTAAGTGCAGAACCTTACTTTTTTCACCACTAAACCACATCTTAATGGATAGGGTCCACTGCTCAAGTTTGTCAAGATGCTTCTGGATCTCGAACCTATATTCCAAAGTATTAGCTATTCCCCCCATCTTGGTGTTGTCCGCAAATTTGATGAGTTGAACTATAAGTTCAACAAGCTATAAGTTCAACAATTCCTCTCTTCCAACCACCAGTTGGAACTGCCGTCTTAGGAAGAATCAGGATCATCATAAAACGATGCCCTCAACCTCACAAATGGTGCAAAATGCCACAGTCAATAGTATTCAATGGCACCAAAATGTCTCATTGAACCAGACGTGCACTCCCTTCATGTGGAGCCTGATGACAGTCATTCACTGGAATGAGGTAAGGGATCTAGATAATTCATTTCACCTAGGATATTTGGCAACTGAAGCCACACTATCTTTTTCAAAAATCTTCCCTCTAACGAGAAGATTACAAAATGGACAAATGTTGTCGAAAATTGCTGGTTGAGAGATCCTCTGCTAAGAGGGGTGCACCACTGCCTCCATCAAGGCAAATACAGTAGTTGTATCCCTTCCACTAAAGAGACATTTTTCCTTTCCAGAATGAAATTGCTGGGTCCAATGCATGATGATGGGTCTTAAGCTACCCACTTCCTTAGACTATGAGTTCAAAAGAATCCAGGATGATTTCTCAAGATATAACCTCACTAATCTTGCTGTACTGAAATCAAATGGCATCCAATATAAAGTGAATATGAGCAAAGCTATCCACAAAGACTTAAAAGCATATCACAGCAGCCTGCAAGAAAAACTTCCTCAGCAGAAGGCTGTGGATAAGCTTGTATAAGGCACTGGACAAAAATCTGTTCTTAACACCTCCATGTTCAGTTGCATTCAGTCTTCATTTCCGTAATATTGATCTAGGCATCTCTTTTGACATTTCAGCTTCTGGAGACCCTTGATTACCCAAGAAGCAGGATCAGTGACTATAGAGAGGCCACATGGCAGCAGTCCTGTCCGAAACCTTTCCTGTCTCTGAGTTCCAGAGTTCAAAAAAGTGTATGACAGAACTTTCTGCCTGGCCCCTGGGAAAATCTTCCAAGCATCTTTAGAAAACTTGTAGGGTCCATCAGGCCATCCTAATTGGTTCCACGTCCTTGCAGAGATAGAACATAATCCACATGTTGACCATGTTAACCTGATCTGATTATCTTGTCTTCCAACGTCCGATCACATCTCATGTGCTCTAAGGTCAACAGCAGAATTAACATGTGACTGCCTGTATATGCCAGCCTACAAGTCACCTGGGACAAACTCATAGTTACCATGGAGGACGTGCCATGCTAGTTCTGTCTGAATCCCACACTCAGGGCATAGACTGAAACCCCCCATTGCTACAGTAATAGCTTTGGGACTCCCAACACCAACCTGACAATGAGATCTAATTGTTCAAGCAAGATTGGTGCTGGGTGGCAGAATGGTCAGTACACAGCAGTAGCCATAGTTTGACTCAGTTGCCCAACTTCATCTTTCAGGCATTCATATCTGGTTATCTATAAAGTAGCATATCTAGTCACAATTAAAGTATCACAAAATATCACACACACACCCCAACCTTGGAGTTGGGGCTGCTGAGCCAACCAGAGAAGGATAAATCTTGCCATGGTTATATCCATGTCTGTGTCCAACTATGCTTCATTTCAATGATGCATGGCCGGTCTGCACACTCATCCACCATCAGGTTTTGGATGAATGTAGTCTTACCACACAGAAACGGGACATTCAACAGCAGTAGCCTGAGGCCTCCTTCCAGACACAGAAAGGCGGCAAATATGGAAGCAGGCACCTGCAATAAAATAAGTCTCCTTTCTCCTGGAAGGGCCAGACCATTGCATCCAGCCATACCCCTACCAATAACCCTTCACTGTAGCAATTTGTTGTTCAACATCAGTATCTTCTGAGTTTTGACAGATCCCTCTCAAACTGTCCCAGACTGTTTTCATATCCTACACTAACCCACTCCCATTCCACATAACTCAATGGGGCAACAATCTGAGACATCACTCATGCTATCCTGTGTAGAAACTTAATAAATGCAGGATGGGTTTCCAAACAGCTTTTTTACCCAACTGTGTGCTCCTTAACATTTGCTTCCAATTTTGTCCCATCATGGGTTCACTGCAGGGTGACAGCAGGACCATGCAGGATTGCCTTCTGTCCAAGTTGGTGACAACTAGTCTAACTTTAATTAATATCATTTGACATACATAGTTAAAAGATGAAATAATTACCCACCAATTTAATCAATTTAAATGATTGGTTTTTTTAAAAACCCTCTGAAAAATATATACAGGAATCAAAGAGAGCTATTTTAAATAACTAATATACTTTGAGAGTCAAAGATAACATGTTCTAAATACAAGTTCCTATGAAGCAACAGTTGAAGACAGCTACCATTTCAGATCCTGGAGATGAGTTTCTTAAGGACATCTGTTTGAGTTGTGTGTGAGATGAAGAATGTTGGAAGAGATAAATTTAGACTGATCCAGTAGGATTCATCCTAGGGCA